ATTTAAGACACGCAGGAGTCTTTCAGATGAGTACGATGGTTAACTTGGGGATTGGATTTCAATTCAAGAGCCTTTGACTCGTCCAGGTGTTAAACCTGACCAGAAGACGAGCATTTGCTGTTCGACTCCGCAACACGGGGGATATACAAATTCCAGCTTGCTAATAGGTGATGTGAAAGTGAGAAAATGTCATGCCATGCTATTCTTAACAACCTGTATGAGCCGAAAATGAATGTGATTTTGACCATTCGCTTCAAAATAACAGCGGAAATCGAGATAACAAAACATATGTTTTGTGTCCTACGTTGCAGACGAGGACGTGTATCCCCTTTTTGAAAAGCATAGTTATGTTCTTTCATTCATTCATTGCCATGGAATATGCGTTTACATTGTTTTTTTTTTTATTGTTAATAGCTCGATTAATGTGGCTGGCGATCATCTTGCCGGCGGAAGTTTCATGCAAAAGGCACTAAATCAAACACTTTTCCTACCGTTATGTAATCAGTCTCTGTGGTGTAATGGTTAGGTGTAGTCGCGTCGAGCCGATGGTGCCGGGTTCGAGTCTTACCGTACTGTTTTTTTTGTCCGTTTTTTTGTGTTGTTGTTTTCTATAAATATATAATTAAATAACTGTTACTTAATAAAGTGCAATAAACCGCAAGAAAAGTATCGTGTTTCCGGAGAAAAGATAGTACACCGTATATTACATATATGGATAAACAATCTGAATTTCATTTCCTACAATTTACTGTGGGAAAACCAGAGTTGATAACCACTTGATCACTTTCTAAACAACGTTCCCACGAGTTCTTTCTATAGACTGATAGTAATTATTGTAGTACTTTCCATCATGTAAATAGGACATTCAAGGTCATTTTCGATCCTTTTAAGTCCCACTGCCTAACTTATGCCAGTATCAACAGAATGTGCCGCAGCATTACTATCTTTTAGATACCCTGGTAATAATTTTCTAAAATTCATGCATTAAGTTCGACACATGTGAAATGCGACGCTTGAATCAAAAGTCGAACCTAAGTCGAATCTTCGACTGTTTCAGTCGCAGATACAGCAAACGTTGCATTTAATTTAAACAGTCGAATTTAACTGATTCAAACGTTGCACTTCACAAGCATTTTACTCTCGAGTTAAATTCGGCACATGTGAAATTCGACGTTTGAACCGCGCCTTACTCTGTGACATCTTCCTGAACATCAGTGTCTTATCAAATGAAACTCTATTGTCTAACCTCGAACGCACTCTATCATCTACGATTACTACTAGATAAATATTATGTACAGCTTTGGTGAGTTTTATGGAAGGTGCATCTTTCTTACCCTCCTGCTTCTGTGCTTGTATCGTAAAACACGGGGTGAGAATGACTAACAACACACAAGCATATACTATCTCCATTTCTGAAAAATCGAACCAACTGACTGAAAGCAATTCTATTCCTGGTTTTAAACCAAGTGACAAGGCGGTCACGTTGGCGGTCAATTCAAAAGAGTTTTTCACGAAGAATTTACATGAAAATAGATTTTAATTCCCAGAGGAGAGAAATGCGTTTGTTTTTGACCACCAACATGACCGCCGTGACCTCACGTACAGACTAGCAGACGGACCAATCTGCGTTGACCTACGTAAGTGTTTACGTTAATTAGCGTTACGTAATTTGCAACGCCACCTTGAGATCGTGAGAATTTGAAAGAGATAAACTACGGTTTTTTTTTTAGCGATTAAAGAATTCAAATGCTTACCAAACCAAACTGAACAAAATGCTTTCCCCTTATATATACTGCTGTAATGCTCAAAATTTGTAGAGATACCGTAAAATTCCGAAAATAAGCCCCTCCATGTATAAGCCCCTCCAAATATAAGCCCCCCAAACCATTAACGCAAAAAACCCTCCGTTAAACCGCCTCTCCAAATATAAGCCCCCCGGGGCTTGTACTCGGAAAATTGCCCTCAAATACAAAGTATAACAAAGCAAAAACGATAAGTTTACTTCCAACTATACGGCTAGCCCGATCGATTTTGAAACGCAAATTTCCCTCCGTGGATAAGCCCCTCCGAATATAAGCCCCTCCAAAAATAAGCCCCTCAAAAAGGGCCTTTGAAAAATATAAGCCCCGAGGCTTATTTTCGGAATTTTACGGTATTTGAGAAACCTGTTGAAAGATAATTCACTCCATGAGCCTTCAGAGGAAGTAGGAAATTGGAATTTGGTAATACGTGATGCGGAATATGAAGGGGAACGGAAATCAGCACTTATGAAGCATGGCGAGGGAACAAACTTTCAAGGCAAAACAAATAAACGATTTTTTAGATGTTATATATATATAAGAAGTTTTTGAACATATTAGTAAATGTGGCGATAAAAGTTGTGGATAAGAAAGGATATTTAGACTTACTTTTCAAGATCTAAAGATTACTCGGGTCAGCACTACGTAGCTCTTGAATCCAATCCAGCGGTTTGCTACCTGAAATTTCAGGTAGTGGATTTGTTTTAGCTGCAGTAACTTGCTGAAAGATATTTGAATTTGGGCGACTTTGTGTTATATCCGTGGACACGTCTGTTTCTAGGAATAAACGCAACTTATTCGGTTAAAGGAAGTGAGATGTAAACTAATTAAAAACACCACGTCATGTCACAAAACAATATATAATAGATCAGTGTTTTTTATTTTTCGTCTTATTGTTTTGTTTTGTTTTTTCTTTTTCCTTTATCCTTATGCCGTCACTGATTACCGTACAATTCTACATTCGAAGACGGTACCAATGTCCAGAGGTCTAATTGAGGGTTTAATTAAGGAAAAAACACCTGACGGGGAATGACGTAAATAAATAAATAAAATAAATAGGCATGCTACTATTTATATGCCGAAGCGGTAACGTTTAAACGCAATTTGCGTATAGTTAAAGGGCTTGTTCAATATTTGGGTATAATGATTGATTCTGAACTATCATGGAAGCATCATAATGACTTTGTCTGTGACAAAATTAGTAGATCGGTTGGAATAATTGCTAAAATGAGGCATTGCATTCCATGGCATCTTCTTTTGAATTTATACCTTGCACTTATTGTTCCTTATTTAAATTATGGTGTCTGTGTTCACAGACCTACCTCAATAAGATACTTGTCACCACGCAATATCTTTTTTATTGAATCAAACTGCTTTCCTTTGCAGTCTTTGTTCTTTCAACAGTTAAGCTATTTAATGTATGACGTTCATGCTACAGCTGATGCTAAGACAGCTCCTAAAAGTCTTCTCGATACGTTTGCGAAAATCAATACAAAACATCATTATAATACGCGATTATCTGCAAAAGAATGTTTCTGTGTCAAATTCTCTAGAACTGAAAAAATGAAAAAATCTTTTACTCGAATTGCTGTTAAGACTCTCAAAATATCCAATTTTCGTAAAAAAAAAAAAAATATTAAATCACTACTCCTTAATGTTCTAGGTAATGAAGATAATTATTTGAATGCTAATTATCTTATAGAATATTTTATGACGTTAACCTGATATGTTGTATATACCTCCAGTTGTAATTTTAGTCTTTTTCAAATAACAAAATCCCCTGTACTAGAATTTATATGTAAGGTGTTTCTTTCTGTATGTTATTGTATTTCTTTTCTTTTTTTTTTTTTTCTTATGTAATTTAATAACGTCTTTATTTAATTTAAGTCTTGTCCTGCCTAGATTAGCATTATAGCTATTTGCAGGACATAAAGTATTGTAAGTCTGTTTTTCTCTTCGGAGTAACCCGCCATTTTGTATTGTTTTCATGTGGCTCACAGATCTAAAGTTTAAGATCTGCGCAGAAGTCGTAGTCCATCGGATGTTTGCTGTCTTTTTAAACAGCCTAAACGGTAAGAACAGTTCAAGTATTGTACTTGACATTTTTTTTTCTAGGTTTCAGGATAATACAACGATTATTTTTAATATTGTTATCTCGGGAATCAGGATTGTAAGTTACACAAGAGATCAGCATTTGCTGTACGTCTACGATAGAGCGCTGTTATCCAACGTTTGAACAACTGGGGCCAGGTTTCCATTACGCATGCGAGGCACTTATGTAGCCAGCGTACGTTGTCACGCTCGCTCAGTTGGTACGTGGCCAGTTAATGGAGATTAGACATGTACTGCTATAGCCTACGAGCAAGCTCTCCGGGGCGTTCTGGCGCTAGGGCGGGAAAAGGAATTTGAGCTTGCAACTACGTCTCTGGAATTTGAATTCCGCCTCCAATTCCCCTTTAGCTCCCCGTAGACTGAGCTGTCAGATTTCCGTTAATCAGCGCAAAGCGGGAACGAGCGCGAATGTAAACAAACATTGAAAAACGCGTGAAAGTTCATTGTCATCTCCGCCAATCAGCATCTCGCATCGACGTTTTCGATACAGATATTCAAATTCCAGAGACGTAGTTGCAAGCTCAAATTCCTTTTCCCGCTCCGCTAACAGAGCGCCCCGGAGAGCCTGCTTGCTGTCTAGTACAGCTAAGGCAAACTGCAGTCGATCCTTGCAACACGGTATCATTACGTCAACTGGTCGTGGGAGAATCATGATGAATTGCTCAGGTTTATCCCAAACCGCACGAGCATTGGATAAGGGGCATTCAAGGCAGAGCCATCAAGTCAACCTCGTTCCCAGGGTTCTCTCCTACCCGCCCTACGGGTAGGAGAGAACCCTGGGAACGAGGTTGCCATCAAGTCCAAAAAGCAGCTTATTTTAGTATTAAGATAGGTTACTTGTCATGGAAGATAGAGGTAGGCTGTCCCATCCAGTCACGTGGTAACTTAGAATATTCAACTTTGCAGCCCAACATGGCAGAAGCCGCCGTCGTGTTACACGTTGCGTGACCACAGTGTTATCGCTGTTCTGCAGATCTGAAAACAAAGTTGCTGGACAAAAACAACAACAACGAAGACGACGACAACGGTAAACAAACAACCAAAAAAGCAAAAACTAATTAAACTCGCAGCAGGTTTGCCTTCTTCTAGTTGGATTTTCAGTCAAGTTATTGCTTGTTTGAATTACCGTATTTATTCGATTAACCGCCCCGGGCGCTTATTAAATTTTTGGACCTAGAGAGTGGGCGCTTATTCGAGGTGGGCGCTTATTCGAAGCTGGGCGCTTATTAAATTTTCACCATTTTCAGCTAGTGAAATATGTTTATTTTGCAACAAAACAATAAATTCTAATAACAAAACGCGAAGAAGTAACAAAGCAAGGTTTCTGTAAAATACTCTGAAGAAAACTGCGTCCTCGGGGAAGTCTCTTTTTAGAATTTATTCACTCAACTAGGTGGGGTGGGGGTGAGCGCTTATTTGAGTTTGATTGGGAGAAGGAGGGGGTGGGCGCTTATTCGAGGCTGGGCGCTTATTAACTTTTTCTGCCTTTAGGATGGGCGCTTATTCGAGGTCGGCGCTAATTCGAGGTTGGGCGCTTATTCGAATAAATACGGTATATGCAATTGTTTTCTTTTTTTCGACACATACATGCAACAAACCAAGCAATTAAAAGAGTTGCTATATTTTGTTTTCCTTTCTTTTCTTTTGCATGCAATTCAAGAGGCAATTCAGCTTAGTTAGGGAGCAATAACATTGTAATCTAATATACGTCTTGCACTTGATCAGAGTTTCTGTGAATTTTCCATGTCGTCTTTTGCACTCCCATCCTCTGCCCCTCCTTCGCATCTTACTTCCCCTAAAATTAAATGGTTCAGCTTAACTCGCTTGCAAACTAGTAAATTTGAGTTTGTTGTGACAACTGGCGTGCCTTGCGCTATCTTTCCCGCCAAAAAATTTTGTTCTAGGCCCAGTCCCCTTCAAAGATCGGTGCAACCGTAGCTTTTTTATTATTTTATTTCATTATTATTTTTTTACTATTTAAAAACACTTTATTTCACATTTACATACAAGCGAAAAAAAAAAAA